TAGCTCTGTAACCAAACAAAATTGAAGGCTATAAAAATTATGGTTTGTCTGAGCAATAATGATTTTATAGAGAGTAATTTACGTTTCATTTCGTACTTTTTGAAGGGTGGTGGATAAAATAAAGATGATGACATGCTAAGATAAAATATGTCACGTGGGTCACACTAATGGAAATTTGGGATTTTAAAAAATATTTCCTTGCAGAATTAAGAACTTAAAACTTATAGACTATTAAAATATGGATTATTAGCTAAGGTTTTATGCTATTCTAATTGGTATAACTTAAAAAAAAAGTGGAATAATAAAATTTTTAATGTGTCATGTGCAGTAAAGGATACCCAGGGCGAAAGGGTTAAACAAAAAGCAATTACAATAACAGAATGTATGATGAAATTGGAGACAGATATAGCATGAGAAAAGTATATGGGAAACAGAAAACAAAATATAAATAAATTCTGGTACAAAATAAGACAGTCCATTAAACCTATTCTAAGTAAAAGAAATGTTCCTAACTAAATAACTCTCCTTTTCATGTGGAAAAACACAATAATCATGCTACGTGTCTGACAAACTATGAGCAAATTGATTATAAATTTCGACCTCAATGTTTTTTAATTGTAAAAAGAAACTTACTATTAGAATGACATCTAAAGAAGAAAGATCATGAATCAATCCCACATTTTTTCAGCCAAAAGTTCTCAAAATTATGCAATACTTTGAAAATTATTAACTTAAAACAATCTGCAACATCACATTTCAAAGCTTACAATAAGTAACAAAAATTACAAAATAAAGCCTTTTCTTATTCATTCTCTTCCAACTTTTGAAATGCTAACTGAAATGTTTTAAACACTTTTAATTACTGAGCTTTCTTCTCTTCCAATAATAAATTCTGTTTCATTCTAGATGTTAGTTTTTTGTTCAAGGTTTAATCTTTACTATATGCAAAAAAATAAATAAAAATGTATGTAACCAATGTCAATGTTTCTACTGATCATAATCGTTCTGACTCTTAAAATAAAAGATACATTATTAGTAGTTATTACATGATTATAGCCAAAAAAAGGGCCTATGAGATACAAATGTGATGGATTTGAGGAGAAAAGAAATGTACAACCATTCAAAAGGCTTACTACTTGCTATGAAAATTTACTGATATTCCTAAAACACATTAACAGTTTGTAAGCTCAGGTAAAAAACATATAACTTTCAGATTTTGTTGTAGTAACAGCATTTCTCCAATAAGTAGAAGACAAAGAAAATTCAGTTGTAAAAGTTCAAAATATTAAAAAAAAAACATTCCAAATGAACTAAAGAAAGAAATCAGATTTATTAAAAATGAAGATTTTTACCATAAATACTAACTTAAACAACTTAATATCCTATCCTATGGATAATTTCTTTTCCAGGGCTTACATTTATACAAGAGCTTTTGTTTTAAAGAAAACAAAATACTTCAAACAATATTTCATTTTAACAAAAAAAAACTTTAACGAAAAAAAAATGTTTAAAATTATTGTATGTGTAAGACTTAGAGAAACATAGATGGGAAATGACTTCAATGTAAACTTCTGCTTACATGTTAAATACAGGATGAATCAGATACTTTGATGTCCGCTCAAATGGTGTGCCATATATACTTTCTTCAAATTTCTCAGTTGAAAAATTTACTATCTCTTCCTGCACAAAATAATAATAATCAATCTCACCTCTAAATGTAACTCACAAAACTTAACTTCATTCATGAAATAAAGAAATATATAAAAAACATGAAAAACAGTCATTATTCAATATTAATTTTTTATCTTGTAACAAATTCAGACTTCATTCATAAATCTGGAATAAAGGTGACATCAGATGAATAAAGTTTGAAACTGCTCCTTTTCATGGTCAAATTAGTTGGGTAATTTTCTGCAGAAGCATAAAAATAGGAGAGAAACATAATTTAATCAATTACAAGCCAAACCTATGAAGTTGTAACAAAATGAAAGTGTTAAAGCAATGAATACCAATTTATATATTAGTAAAAGAAGAGATGAAATTTTCTTGTAGAAATATTTCTAGCTTTATATAGATACTGAAACTACATTACAACAAAATTATTGATATCAACAATTTTACCAGACAAAACAACTTTATTTTTAAGATTGGATAACAAAGAAAAAGCTACCAATCTGTAGGTCTACAGGATATAAAATAAGTATGTATAAGTTCTAAATTGTAATCAAAATCCCACTAAATTAAAAAAATGAAGGAATAACTAAGTCACTTAGTTACAAAACACAAGCGTTATGTATTTGTAATCTTGTTATACTGTGAATTATCTAATGAAAAATGTATGTGAAACATTTATTTTATTACTTATATTCCAAAACATACAGACACTACAATAGTTGCAAAAAACACCACATACGAGTGTTAAAGTTATAAATGTTATAGCTAAGTGAACCATGTTATAAAGCTCTTCAAACATGTTTTTTTTCTGGTCATTATATATATATATATATATATATATATATAGCTAATGATGGAATCTGAAAATAAAACACTTATTTGTCTTTAAATAACCATACTTATTTATAGAATTGAATCACATTTTGTAAAACACTAAAAATAACCTGCATAAATTAACAAAACCAGAATTTCAGTATTAGTTTTTCAACTGTTTTGATACTACTCACAGATACAGTAAGTCTATAAATAATGATTATTGTATTCACATAAAAAGTTTTATGCTTATAAGAATTACTATAAAAATGAACTAGTTCTTAAAAGTGAACTTATTTCACCTACAGGAGTCACTAAAAGCAAATAATTGAAAAAGAAAAGTAAAAAGAGAAACATCAGTTTGCTTAGTTCATAAAAGTTCACAATATGACATATTTTCATAAAGTGGAAAATTGTAATACATGTCTCCTGCTTTGCTAGTTTTTTTTTCCTTCATTTTGATGAAATTTATTATGCACAGTAGAACTTCACAGGCCTTCTCATTTTGAATAAAATTTTCTATTAAAACTCTTAAAATTATTAATGAGTATTGCCAAGGTGTCTGTTATATGTAAAAAGCACCCAGTGGCACAGCGGTACATTTGTTGATTTACAACACTAGAAACTGGGTTTTGATACCAATGGTAGGCAGAGCACAGATAGCCCACAAACAATATGTGTAAAAAAAAAAAAGATAGTTAAAAGATAATTGTTTTAATTACATATATAAGCAATTAGCTGATAATGCTGTCTGGATAATGATCAGAAAATAAATAAAATGTTTTTGACCTTTAGAGGATTTGAATACTCTAACTTTGGGTTAAATTAAGAGAGGAACTAAGCTCTATACCATTGCTAAATTTGTTAATACAAAATACTTACCTTTCACAATATTTCACTTTCATATTAAAGTCATTATAGTCTTCACAAACAACTAAAGTCCATGTATACTTAAACAAACAACTATTTTGACTCCTGTGTAATTTGACACATTTTCAGTTTTTACAAAGCATGGCAAATAAGTTACCCAAACAAACAAATAAAAACCAAGTTTTACATCCGATGACAAACCAAATATTTGTTTTCATCCCACACAGACATATTATTTGATTGGATTTTTTTAAAAATTAAGTATTACATTAGCTCAGACTTTTATACATCTTTAACTTTACCTCTGTGTCCCTGTAAACACTAAACACAACTATAAACAAAAGTATGTTACTTGACAATAAAGAAACTATAAAGTATATATAAATAACTATAATTACATGAGCCCATAAAGATAACTAGATCACTTGAAAATATGCCTTGCTTTCTGACAAAATTCAGTAGTCAACTCTCTCACTATGGACTTGGTCAATTTGACCAAGTTTGTGACCCCAAATATACCTTTATAGTTTCCATACTATAACTCCTAATATGTTTTGTGTATCTTCAAGGAATTTTACAAGCTTTCAGTAATCATTAAGTCTTTTGTAGACAAAAAAATCAGAATTTTTTATGACTTATTTTCACTACTAATTTCTCCATGAATATACAGAGTCAAAGTATTGACTGCTTTAAGTACAAAGTGATTTTCATGTTAATATTAAAAATACTTTTAACTCTTCTGAAAAATCACAAGTTTCATTTTCATAATCTCTAAAACCTCCTAAATAAATTTCAAACGTTTTTTCAGTAAAACTTTATATTTTATCTGTTATTTTTTCTACTCTAACTCTAATCGAGATTGGTCAGTTTTACCAACCTCGTAACTAGCAAAAAAATTACATAATTCGAGAGAAATCTACAATACCATTTTTTTTCTTTCTAGACTAGCTTCAAGTTGTAACATGAAATACATTTGTTTATCTTAACTAGCTTTAAACTGATAATGGTTCATACTTATATTTTATTATTTTATTTCCCTTTGAACCGTGTTTAACTTTTGAATTACACTTTCAAATTACGTAACGTACAGGCTAGTCACAAGCATACCTTGTAAAAAAATTTTATTATTATTTTTTATATTTTACGTAATATAACCTTATCTAACCTAAAATTTCCAATATTTATATTTTAGTTACTTTTATAATAATAAATAAAGAATACACATGAAAAACAAAAAATAAAAGTAATTACCTGGGTCTTCTTTCCTCTTGCTGTCAACTGTCAATGGCCCTTACCCCCACTTTTTTTTTTTTTTTTATATATATATATATATATATATATA